CACACACACACACACACGCACGCACACGCACACACACACACAGAGCGCTCATTGTCTGCCTCAGTCTGCACCCGGTTTTTTACACGGGGCAAAAAATGCATTTAAACCAGCTGAAGTTAAGTTTAGAGCACAGTTTGAAACGTACACTGAAGGAAACCTGCATCACGACTTTAATACACACTGAAGTCAGAGCAAACGTGATCTGCAGCGTCTGTTTGCTGCACGGCGGCAGCTCTAACGTAACAGCGAGAAAGGACCGAGAGCTTTTTATTTTAATCCAGCAGGGAGAACAATACAGGTGTTCTTCTCTGCCTCCTGTGAGCAGTTCCAGCATTTTTTAAAAGAAAAACAACTCGGACACGCTAATTACAGTGCGGTTTCAAACCGAAAGTAAAAACATGGCGCTCACTGTGCTCCCGTTCGAAGTGAAACTTAACACACAGCTGTTCTCTCTACCACACATTGTCCGACACAGCAGACAGAAACAGCTAAATTAGACAGTTAAAACACATTAAAAGTTCATAACTCACCCTGATTGTTGTTGGAACTCTGTGGAGATTGTGCCGAGGCTGTCACTGTTAACAGTGAACACCAGAGGGCGCAATTAACAGCTTTCTTTGAGGCACCGAAATAAAGCACCGAAATTAGAGTTGTGTTTCGGTCTGTGTACTACCGTTGACCTTCGCCCCGGTGCCATACTGGAACGAGTTTCGGTACCCAACCCTACACCTGACCTGCTTCATGACAAGAGTTGTCCCCCATCCTGTAAAATACAGAATCGTCCTTTATTTGACCATAAAATGTTGCGTCCTGTACCGAACTGATACGGGATGAGATATCTGTACTTTCATAAATGTGCAATAGACAGGTCTCCTCTTGCCAACACTTAAAAAGCCTCCTCTCCTCCCCTGCTCTGTGTGTCTGCTCTCACAGTGAGACACACACACAAACGCTGATCAAAAAATAAAACTGCTCTCAGAGCCCATGCTGATGACAAGAAGCCGCGCTTTTTAAAAATGTCCACTACACTCGATATTCAACCACATCCTCAAAACGTTTACAAAAGTCCAGACATGACGTGAGCAGGAAGAGGAACAATGGCTACAGTGTCCAAAGGTACAAAACACCACAAGGAGCAGGGGAGTTAGAACAAATACAGGCTATTAAAATAGTAAGGTTATTAGAATTTAAAAAAGAAAGAAGCCAAAATAAAATCAGGAACTCCAAAATAAGAAGTCATTCAAGGTTTTGTGCCTTTTGATTTGTTGAGAAATCAACTTCATATAACATGTCAACTCTATCAGGAAGCTCAGAAAAATTATTATTTAAAAAAAAAATCATTTGTGTTTGTGAAATGTGGCCTGGATGATTAGCAAATTAATAGAGTATTCCTTTAAACTCGTTTTTATACTTTGCTATAAACCTAYCAGAACATGTTTCCAGTTTAACTGCAAGTTAGGAGATATTTTTGAGTTTTAACATTTAGTCACAAACATGTTAGAGTGAGGAGGACACAGCCAGAGTGACAGGTTCTGCAAAGACATCACAGAAATGTGTCAGATTTAAACATTTTAAGGTTTTCTTTTCCAGGATTAAGTGTGTGGTCGAGTTTGAAGGACTTTTATTTTACTTTAATGATGCAAAGAAAAAGATCTGACATCAGCCAGACATTCTGCAGGTCACATAGGAGCGCAACACTGCATACATGTAAAAACACAGAACAGCCATCAGTCACAGTTTCTCAGAACCTAACCTTGTCTAAAAGAAATGTCAAAATGTTTATATTTTAGAGGAACACAGCGCCCCGCCTTGTAGGTGCCGCTGTGGTGGGTGTCCCTTATTTTAATTTCTTAAAGGTGGCAACCCTATGACCCTCACTGAGACCCCTACTACTACTCCTTTGGGTGTGCTAGATGGGAACTTACTCCTTTTTTCCCAGGGATGGCACACTCCCAGTTCATCAGATTCATGGTTCCATCTGGATTCTTAGTCGGCACAGCAACAAAGCCCTGCAAGGTTTACATACAGTACGACAAGTCATCAGGTTGATGTCAAGGAAGAAAATACATTACATATGTGCCAGGATGATGATGATGTGCTTGTGCTTACAAATGGATGGTCTTTCCTCCAAGCTTTACGCTCCTGAGACAGTCTGCTAAGAGCAATACCAGACATTACTGCTCATCAACGCCTCCCTGTGGAAAAACAACACAAAGCTAAACAATTTTATCCAACTTGTGTACACAACAAACACATGACCAAAGTTAATTCTACCAACTCAGTCACACGGATTGATTAAGTTACTAGCATTAATACGAATCGGGTGTGATGAATAATTTAACCGAGTTAGCCGCTTCTTTCCTCGTTACAGAACAGAAACCGCGAGAAAACGGCGCAAAAAAGAAACAATTCACCAGTGTTATTGTTATGTAATGAATATTCCTCTCAAACTCACCAATTTTCACTTAGACTGATGAATACCACAATGAATGAGGGTTGGGTTGTTTGTGAGGAAAAGCTTATCGGCTAACGTTAGCTCCGCTTACGGCGACTGAAAAGAAAAAACACCAGTCGACGCTCAAAAACAAAACCAGCTACTGAGTAAAAACAGCAACCAAACTTAACTTATTTTTGTTATTATAACTCACAGATTATAAAAACCGAGTAGTGAAATTTTGTGGGGGGTTGATTTAATGATTATTTAAAACAACATGACTCTGAACATCGTTAGGTTAGCTAGCCTTCAGGAAAAAGGACCCCGATTTGTTTGTTTCGTGAGGGCCTTCAGGCAGTGAACAGGACACCCTTTGGTATACGTCACTGATGAGCCGCCATCTTTGTTGGGGGATTTTTGAACCGCAATCCCAAAATATACTGTGGAAATTACGAGTTTAAATAAAAAGACGATTTGGTGAGAAATATTATGCTGCATTTCCCAGCACATGTATTTAAGACTTTTGGAAAAACATAGTTTACTAAAATCACTTTGAATTTATCTAGGCTCTTCTGTATCGGGTAAGAGAACTGTCAGAAAAATTGTACGTGTAAGAGTCTAAATTTGTACATGTAAGTCTATAAACATTCATAAATTTGTTACAACTTTGCCACATTACAAGTACGAATCAAATTTACAAGTACAATTCTTTCACCTGTCAAAATAACAGACATTATGCATGGAACATCGAAAAGATCGACTGCAAACAGTAACTAAGCCAGACCACTAGGGGGATATGACCACTGCCTCATTTGGGACCAGATGAACTCTATAAACGCAACAATTTGCTGAAGGGAAAAGCATTTGGAGGCTTTTKAGTTTGTCATTCATGTCATGTAGTACAACAATAAAGTAGATAGTAGATTTATGATGAACAACCAAAAAAGAAAACTGATGCGTTCTTAAAACCGACCGCATAATGGAAAAAATAATGCAAGTTCAAAAACACATAACGGCAGTGCTCTGACCCGGCCAGCATCAAGTCGCCCACCATCAAACCCCTAAACAACTTTAAGTTAAACTCGTTTTACTTTTAATAGTAGTTTGTATTATTTATTTCACGTTTGGTACACATAGTACTTGTCAGTATTTGTAAGAGGATGTGTTTAAACAGTTTCTTTGCTGAAAGTAGAGCTTTGTTGATTGTTGTTGTTAGCATGGTGATAATAGGAAAGAAAAAACAGCCTCATGTTTCCTGTTCAGTCGAAGTTTATTTAAACGGCTTGAAAAGAACAAAAACCTAATTGGTGTTAAAACTGTGAGTTTAAAAAACTTTCTCTGACTATAATTTGATTTGTTTATTAAGACCTTGTTGGCTACATTTTTAAAGCTTWGTCAGAACTACACGGACATTGATTTTAATTAGAATCACCATAAATCAAAGTTAAACTGTGTTTAACTYYGTTAATCTATTTTTAACTACTACCAAACTACTTCCTTCAGATTTCAGTGACCAATATGAGTAGAAAAATGTTTGCTGTCTGATTAATGAGACTGCTGGCTGTGACTGTGTGATACTATAACTGTGTTCTTTTTAATTTACTTTTATTCAACCTCGACCTGAATGTTTGTGGACCCACTGAGGACCTGTCTCCAGACCTTTGTATCAGAGCAGGACTGAGACCATCAGGCTCCATCAGTGAGACTACAACCAGTGGAAGCCAGTTCCACCCCACATCAGGTCAAATAGTTGTATTAGCAGTAATATTATAAACTTAATATAAATAAAGTCAATAAAATTCATTAAATAAAGTTAAAATAAATCAGTCTTGTTAACCTGTTGATTTTATGTGATTCAGATAAGTGCAGTTGATGCAGCAGCAGCATTCAGCCCATCCAGGGACCCAGGACAGATGTCCTCTACATCCACACCTACATCTGACAGGCAGGTGGATGAGGAGGTGATGGAGTTCCTGACCATCTGAAGAACTGAACCAGCAGCAGGATGAGGAGGTGATGGAGTTCCTGACCATCTGAAGAACTGAACCAGCAGCAGGTTGAGGAGACACTGCAACAAAATCTGTTCATCTGGGTTTTAAAGCCTTCATGACAGCTGAAAAATTCAGTTAATGCAAATGTAGTTTTAAAATGTCCTGTTTAGAGCTGAGGAAGTCAAACACCAGGCCTCGACATATTTTTTAAACTCAGGATGTTTAATCTGTTTATATTAAAGCTTACCTGGAAGTTTTCATTTATTTGACATTGATTGATGGTTTTACTTTAATAAATAAATTGTTAAATATTCAACACTTTTGTTTTTACCTATGAGCTGTGAGTGATAGATGAAACAATGAATATAGTAAAAAAAATGGGGGAGGGGCGCAGTAAATTATTAAAATGTTAAATGAAACGTATCGCAAATAACACT